CGCTATCTGATGGTGTTTGTTTCCTTGACAGAGTCTGCTCAGTGCAGCAGCGAGAGCAGGAAGGGCCTGAACCTGCAGACGGGGCTGCGCGGGCCCAAGAGGAGCCGGACCTCGTCCAGTCACCGGACACGGCTGACCACGGCACTAAAGTGGTGGAGCCAGCCCAGGAGCAGCCAGGTTGGACAGAGGGTGCTGGCCTGGGCGAGGTACCTGAGAACAGTACCACCCCCTTAGCTCAGAAAGCCCCAGCAGAGGGCACAGAGAGGTCAAACTCCTACCGGGAGAAGCGAGAGAATCGGAGGATGCGGGGACTAGAACATGACAAATTGCAAAGAGGGTTGGTATCACCAACTCCTCGGGATGGCCCTCCATCACCTACAGACAGTGACTGGTCAGTTAGAACACTCGAGACTGGGGAAAAGGTGGCACAGAATGCCATTGCCCTGGTTAAGGGAGAAGTCAATGTTCAGCCAGATAACGGACAACCTTTGGGACAGGAACAGCCAGAGGAAGCCAGCTCCCCTGGCACCGGAATAACTTTGGAGCACAGGGTGGAAGGAGATAGGGTCCTACCTCTGCACTCGGGCCCTAGTCCTGACCCACAGGGAATGGATAGCAACGGAGAGGCCCCAGCTCAGCCTCAGAGGCCAAAGAGTCTACAGTTGGTCACTGTCAACTCCCCGGTGCCAAAGGACAGTGTGACAGAAAGATCCCACTCCCCAGCCACTGGTACTGAGGCTAATAGTAACCAAATCGCTTGGGAAGTTCTGGAAAGTCCAAGCTCCTCACCGGGAACTCTCCTGCGCTACAACGACCGCGAAAAGCTGAGGAACAAGGCTGAGAAGTGGAAAGATAAACGGTACCATGAGGCCATGACCCCTTCTTCAGAGAAGGAAGGAAGTCCCCATCCCAACACAATCAGAAAGTGAGAATCAAATCTCCTCCTTCCCTCCATCTCGCTCTCTCCGTCCCTGTCTCTGTCTCTCTCTGTATCTCTCTCCTCTCTCTCTCTCTCTTCCCCCCCATCTCTCCATCTCTCCATCTCTAGTTCTCTCTCTCTCTCTCTCTCTCTGTCACCCCCACCCAATCTCTCTAGTACTCCCCCTCTTTTTTATGTCCTGTTTTCTCTCTATCTCACTGTCTGTCTCAGTAGAGGGGGAGGTGTGGTGGGAGGGGTCAGATGTGATTTCACCATGAGGCCATTCTACAGCTCCTGCCCCTTTAACCCTCAGGCACAGTCGCTGGGCGGGAATGAGAACTGATGGACCTGCCCCATCTGAATCCCCCTGTCTTTGTCTCTCCCTCCCCCCTCCCCCAAACAGCAGGGACAAGGAAACCCCGTCACAGGAAGGCGGGGTGCAGCTGGACTTGATATCGTCCCCAGAAACTGCAGCTGAGACCCCATTGAGAGAGGTAGGTGGGGGGGTTGCACTCCTGTGTTTGTGTTTGTGTCTGTGTCTGTGTGTCTGTGATGAGCTGCAGTTGATGGTGAGGATATGATCCAGAATCTACTGACTGGAGTAGATTAATCTGTGGGAGATTAATTTTGTTACAAACACATTGAACCAGTGGAAACTGTCAGCTTCCAGACTGGGGCCACGGTGGTTCTGAAATGTAGGATCATTCAGTGTAGCTCAGGCTGGGCCCCAATCCAGTGGCCTCAGTCCTGTCAATCTGCAACATCTACCTTTCCACGTCCAGCTCATTGTGTGTGTGTGTGTGTGTCTCCATGGCTTTTGCGAATAACAGCCACCCAGCCCCGGTCTGTCACGTATAGACCACACCCACACCCACATGATCCAATTAATCAGGATCCTGTACTGACCCCTGATGGAACCAGGCCTTGGCCTTTGACTGTGACTCCCTGGGGGTGGGAGTGGGCTTTGTACTAAATTGTGGATGGTGTGGGAACCTGTTACAGCTCTGACATGGCTTATTGAAGTGGGGGTGGTGACGTGTAAACTCTCACGTGGCAATCTCTTGGTTTTGAGTTTGGACAGTTTTGCTGCAGACAGTCTCTCCCTAAAGCATGAGATTCTTCCCTTTTAATTTTGCTGCATGCCTTTGATCCCCCTGGGGAATTGTTTTCAGTTGTGGGATTATTTCATCTCCTCTTGGCTGGTGTCAGACCTGGCTGTGTTTTTGAGACGGAGTTTGGTGCCTGTCTTGTGGGTTGCCTCAACTATTTTCTCCTCATGAAAACTCTTGTTGGGATTGGCAACTCTTCAAATAAGATCCCAGTGCCATCTGAGCAGGGCTGTTTCACTGGAGGATGGCAGGATGTCACCTGTGACACGGTCTGGGGGGGTGTGTGTGTGAGGCTAATGACCTCCAGTGATAAAGGAGCTTTTCCCTCTCCCTCTTCCTCAAACACCCCCCGTCCCAACCCCGCCTGCCTCTAATATTCTCAACATCTGTTCCTGCTATCCTAGTGGATAGCTCCACATTTTTCCACTTTGCAGTGGGTCGTCGATTTACAAACATTCAACTTGCAAATGCTTGTACATAGGGACAAGCTCCCATACGGGTGTAGTTTTACATATCTATTTCCTGTCCTTCCAAGTGGCTGCTTTGTATTGGCCTATATTGTGTTCTGACTTGTGAACAAATTAATTTGCAAACGGACTCCAGGATGGAGCCTGTTCACAGTCCAGGGGCTGTCTGTGCATTCCATCTGCCACTCTCTAGCCCATTCACTAATCCTGTTCAAATCCTCCTTTACATCTTCCTGATGACATACATGCTCTCATTTAGCTTTGTATCATTGTAAATTTGTAAAAGTAATTTTAATCCCCATGTCCCAATCATTGACATATGTTGTGAACTGCTGGGGCACAAGCACTGATCCTTGTGGTACCTCTTAAGGAGATAGCCTAGACCCCAAGTTTTTCCTAATTTAAAGGCAAGGTATCTGCATTCCAGATAAATTCGATTGTACCAATCTTAGAGCAAAACGCACTTTATTCTGACGCTGTAGTTAAAATAAAAACAAAAAAGAATTAGAATAGCTTAATTCTATTGGAAAACCTAAGCAGAATGATAGATTATTTAACTACCAAACAGCAACTGTTCCAATATCGTAACATTCCATAAACACACCCTTGCAAACAGCAAATTCAGTAAAACAATTCTCTAAAGGCAGTTCTCCAAGCCAGAAAGAAAGTATATCAAGAGAAAATAAAGAGAGGCAGAGAGAACTTTGAGCATTTTGCTGTGGCAGGGAGAGATGTATAGCACCTCCCAAACCCCCAGCAGTACTGAGCATTAAACTAAAATCCTGGTTCTGTGGGAGTTTGACCCTACTCTTCCAGGCTGCTTCTACTGTTCCAACTTTTTTAAAAAAAACTTCAAGGCCTCACAAACTGTTTATTTTATTGATTGTAACAGACTGCATGTAACCTCCGCCTCAACCTTGCTTCATTTAAAAAAAAAACACCAGAATAAAATACACCTTAAATCCATTGTATTGTCACCTACCCCGCAAGTCACAGGCTGCCAACAGGAGAGTGACCTGTTTATTCCTGTACTCTGTTTCCTGTCTATTAGCCGATCCTTAATTCATGACAGTATATTACCTCCTATACCACGTGCATTAATCTTTCCAACCAGCCTCCTGTGAAGGAGTTTTATCAAAAGCCTTCTGAAAATATAATTATTCGACGTCCATTGATTCTTCTTTAGCAATTTTGTTCGTAAGATCTTCAGAAAAAACTCCAAGTTTCTCAAACACAAGTTCCCATTTGCCAAACCATGCTATGTCCAATCAAAATATTATTGTCCTATTGTCTAATGATCCCATCCTTTCTAATCAGCTCTAGCATTTTCCTTCCTCCTGTAGTTCCCTGTTTACTCTCTCGCTTGCCACTTAAATTGTGAGGTGACATTTACTACCTTTCAAACCTCAGGGATCACTCCAGAATCTGTTGAATTTTCGATGATAATCACCAGTGTATTGCTATAGCCACCACCCTAACACTTTGGGATGGAGACGATCAAGTCCTGGGGATTTTTCAACTTTCAATCCCATTAATTTCCATACTACAATCGTCTTAATGAAGCCAATTTCCTTCAAATATCAGTCACTCAAGTTAGACACCAGGACACAGCAGCCCACTTGATTGGCACTACATCCACAAGCATTCACTCCCTCCACCACAGATACTCAGCAGTGTGTACTATCTGTAAGGTGCACAGCAGAAATTCACCAAAGATCCTCGGACAGCACCTTCCAAACCCATATCCACTTCCTTCGCAAAGGACAAGGGCAGCAGATATATGGGAACACCACCCCTTTTCAAGTTCCCCTCCAAACCAGTCACCATCCTGACTTGGAAGTATATCGCTGTTCCTTCACTGTTGTTGGGTCAAAATCCTGGAATTCCCTCCTTAAGGGCATTGTCAGTCAACTCACTGCAGGTGGACTGCAGCAGTTCAAGAAGGCAGCTCACCACCACCTTCTCAATGGCAACTAGGGACGGGCAATAAATGCTGGGCCCAGCCAGCAATGCCTATGTCCCATGAATGAAGAAAAAAAAAATTCTCCCTAGCTACTTGGATCTCTACCATCTGGGAGATTACTTCATAGAATCCCTACAGTGTGGAAACAGGCCCTTCGGCCCAACAAGTCCACACCGACCCTCAGAGCACCCACTCAAACCCATCCCCTATAACCCACCTAATGTACAAATCCCTGAACACTACAGGCAATTTAGTATGACCAATCCACCTAGCCTGCACATCTTTGGACTGTGGGAGGAAACCCACGCAGACACAGGGAGAATGTGCAAACTCCACACAGACGGTCGCCCGAGGGTGGAATTGAACCCGGGTCCCTAGCGTTGTGAGGCAGCAGTGCTAACCACTGTGCCACCATGCTGCCCATCTTTTTCAGTGAAAACTGACACAGAGTAATTATTTGAATTCTTTGCCATGTCCCCGTTATAAATTCTTCTGTCTCTGCCTCTAATCGACTCATTCATTTTAGCCAGACATTTCCATTTTAGGAATGAACAGCAGCTTTTGCAGTCCTGTTTTTTTTTTTTTTTGCTCATTTTCATTCACATTGTATTTTCCCCTTCCTTCTCAGTTTCTTGGTCTTCCTTTGTTATATTCTATAATCCTCCCAATTGTCAGATTTGCTGCTATTTCTGACAACCTTCAAGGCCTTTTCTTTTCGCCTTACACCATCCTGAACTCCCTTTGTAAGTCACAATTTACTGACCTTTTCGAGTCTTTCCATCCTGAAGGGATGTGGGCCATGTAATAATTTTTTAAGGTCTGTCCATTGCCAATAAGTGTGCTCATTGAGAGTAACTCAGTGTGGTGTTCACTGCTCTCTGAGTGGAGGCTAAGGGATAACGGCTAACCCGACCTGAGCTGTGAGACTCCAGGTCTAATTCTGAGATTCTTGTCTAAACATGCTTCCCCACCATCACTGACTGGGAAACAATTTCTTTAATTTTTAATGCCAATAAATCAGAATTTATGGCCCCAGCTGGGTTTTACATGAACATAATCTCTCATAAAAGTTTTTTTTCTCTTTCCACTCCCTCACATGTCTTCACATTTTTCTGTCTCTTGCTTCTTTCTGTCTCTGTTCCCTCACCCCCACCCACCTCTCCAGACTCCAACAAACGAACTGCAAGAGGGTGACAGGACACCAACCAAACAAGTGGTGCAGAAGAAAACGTCTCTGGAACCGGATCCCACGCAGACTCTCGAATCTCCCAAGTATGTCAGATACTCATTGCTGGAGGATGCTGGTCTGAGGACGTTGCCCCCAGGGGTGGCACGGTGAAACTGGGACATGTTACACAGGTCAAGGTTCCCGCTCTGGTCTAACTTGGCCTGGGAAGTGATTGTCAGCATTGGATTGGGGTGAGGGCAGGGGTGGGGTTCCAATGAAATGGCATCCCCAAAGGGTGTTCCTACCTTTCAGGGGCTGGGAAGGGATGGTCTGCTGAGGAGGAATTTTCTATTCCTGCGTGATGATGAGATCTCACTTTTGGGTGAGTAAGTGTTGAGATGTTGGCAGGAGATTTAAGAGTTTGATAACGCTGGGAGGCATTGAGATGGTAAGTTGCACCAAAGTTGAACATTGAGCAAATGTATGTGGTCTGTAAGCGGCTGGAGTTCTTGACCAGGATCTGTTGGTGGGTATGGACAGTTGGGATAGTGAAGGGAGAGACAGTGTTGGGGTAGGGAATGGGAGACTGTGGCATTAAGCCCTAACACTTACAGTTTGGTGAGAGACCCATGTGGTATCTGCCCTCATAATTTCTCCGATTTGGTGTGGTTTTTGCTGAATGTGATTATTTTTCTTGTTGCACTTTCCTCTCTTCCTGTCCTAATGTAGGTCTTTATACCGTGGCCCATTGCGGAGGTTTCTCGGGAAGAGACAAGCTGAAAAAAAGCCTTCAAAGGAGCTGTCACAGGTGCTGGATGAGGTCTCTCCAAACCTGCTTCCCGACACAATGAAGGGCTTTGGAGACAGTGAGTCTCTGGCTTTCTCTCGGTCCTTGGCCAATTATTTTAAATCTCTGTCTAAAATCAAACTAAAAGTAAAAGGATACAAAAAGATCTTTTTAAAAAACAAAGCAGAGCTGCTGATGGCTGGGAAAGTGTATTATAGGAGAAAATGGGCTCCGGAACAATAAGACTCTCGACAGTTGGCGGCTCTGATATTGTTCAAGAAAATGGTCAGTATTTTCAGGCGAGAGTGATATGCCAGATATCTCTGGGAAATAGGCATTAAATTAGATATGGACATTCGACAAAATTGATGTGAATAAGAGACACGTAATGAAGAAATTAATGCAATTATGAAGAGTGACAGATCCTCATGATCTGATAGTTTTCAATGGAGATTTGAAAGGAAGTAGTTGAAATGGCATTGCAGACACCCAGACTACAATTTCCAAAATTCTTTCAATCGTGAGCCATTTCTTTTGATTAGAAACTTGGTTGTGCTACTCACTATTTAAGAAAGGTGAGAAAGGGAAGCAGAAACTGATGCCCTGTGCTCAGGGAGTTACTGGAGTCTATAAATAAGGATATAGTGAGTGAACATTACCATCTGATCAAACAGAACCAGTGTGAATTTGTATAGAATGATTCACTTCTGAATTTTCCAAAAAGATGATTAAAGTAATCATCAGGGGAATGATTATGGATTTACTTCAGATGGACTTGACAGTTTTGGCTAATGATGCTGAGGTAAGCAGCTCTTTAAACAGCATGAATAAAAATATAACATTACAAAGAGAGATGTTAACAGCTGAAGCAAATTGCAAAATGGACGAATGGATTTCATTTTAGATAATTGTGAAGTGATCCACCTTGGATGTAAAATGGAAAGGATGGCTGACTTTCCCAGTGGTGAGGGTCCAGATCCTCGAATCATGCAAATGTCACTAATAGCTGCAGAAAAGACACAATAAGGTGAAAGACCTTTTTAGCTGGAGGACCAGAAGACCAGGGAGTGGAGGTTGTGCTGCAGTTCTGGTTACAGCACACCTGGAATCAGTATGAGCTCAGGAAGCAGATATTGCCCTTAAAGGGAGTGCTGTGTTCATTTACTGGAATAAGACCTGGACTTGCACAGGTTAAATTCTGCAGAAGGAGATTAATAAAGCAGGGTTTTAATCTCTGGAATTGAGAAGGTTTAACACTGATTCGATCAAAGCTTTCAAAATATTGAGGAGAAAAGACAGGATAGATTGAGAGAAGTAATATCTGTTCGAGGACCAGGGGCAGAGTCTAGAATTTCCAGCTACCCTTTACAGAAGTGAAATTCAGAAATATTTCTACACACAATGGGAGAATCTTCAACAAACAGCAACTGATGCTTGATCATAGACTGTAGAAAAGGCCCTTCAGCCCATTGACTCTGTACTAAACTTACAATAATCCCAAGGCCTCGAATGTTATGACATTTTGAAGTCCTTGTCCAAGTTTTTTAAAGGTTGTGAGGTTTCCCACCTCTCCTCGCCCCAGCCCCAGGCAGGGCATTCCCACCTGCCTCTGGCTGAAACAGCTTTCCCCCACATCCTCCCTAAACCTCCAGCCTTTCCGAGGTTTTTAGTAACCAGTAGTACAAAGGGCCATGTGTTACAACTCACGGTGGGGTGGTTTCTTGGGAATCAGGTCGTGCTATTCCTGGAGGCACGGCAAAAATTAAAGATTTTAAAAAGTCTGCATAATTCCCAATTTCCCTGTCTTTTAGACCCAGGGTGGCAGGAAATACAGACCAGATTTCTGTACTTAACAAAACTTGTTGTTTATTTCAAATCGGTAGATTCTAACCACAGATAAATAATAATAAACCAATGGACAATAACACTATTAACTAAACCAGTCATCCCCTTAAAAACCTCACACACATCCACTCCTCATACACACAACAAACCCCATCCACACTCCCCCAATACACACTTCCCACTCCAAACATACACACACCTCCCACGCACCTACCCCCTCCAAACCCCCACACACATGCCTCCCCGCCACACACACACTCAAACACTCTCTCTCTTGCGCACACATGCACATGCCCCCCTGCCACAAACACTCTCAAACTCTCTCTCTCTCTCACACACGCACACACACCCTCCCCATCTATCTCTCTCACACTCTGTCCCTCTCTCGCATTCTCTCTTCTCACATGCACACTCTCAGATGATGGAATCAAACAAAAATGATGAATAAATGTAGAAACTGCGATGCTGCAGATTGGAGAATTATTCTTCCTTTCCTGGGGTTTCTTTACAGAAGTGGAGCTGGGTAAATCTGCCACTTTCCCCATGGCGCAGACCCCCCAGTACCTGTACCCTGACACAGGCAAGGAACACACCAGCAAGGGGAAGAGAAGTCGCAGCATCAAAATCAGCAACGCCACCAGTGCCTCGGAACAGTGGGGGGCTCACCTGGGCCAAAAAATCACTAACGCCAACGAACTGAAGAATCTGGATGAGTTCCTCCTGAACAAGGTGAACAAGATCACTGATATACACACACACAAACACACACACAATCTCTCAGCTTCCTTCATTGTCTCCCTCTTGCAGCATCTGCTCCCTCCCTGTCCCTTCCTCGCCTCCCTCCCCCAAGTGCTTTCAGTGCGCTGTCTTTTTACTTGCTGATGGTGATTGGTACTTTCTATGTAATGATGGGGATTATGTCATTGATGGTCATCGGTGCTTTCGGGATTATGTCATTGGCAGGTGAATGACCTCAGTTCCCAAGCTTTGCAGGAATCGAAAATTGAAACTTTATTCATCACCGTCACCGAGAAATTCCGACTGAACCTGAAAAGCATGTACCCCGTCCATGTGAGTATGGGTCACTCAACTTTGCAAAAGGAGCTGTTTCAGAACAATAGCTGTGGGGGGAATTCGATTCAGGTCCCACACACACTGACTCTCACTGGGGTACGGGGTCCCACACACACACACTGACTCTCGCTGGGGTACGGGGTC